GCATCGTTCTTTATTTATTTATATGTTACATTAGTCACCATACAGTACATTAGGTTTCTTTTTTTTTAAGATTTTATTTCTTTATCTGACAGAGAGAGAGAAATCATGAGTAGGCAGAGAGACAGACAGAGGTGGTGGGCGGGGGTGAAGCAGGCTCCCTGTCAAACAGAGAGCCCGATGCGGAACTCTATCTCAGGACCCTGGGATCATGACCTAAGCTGAAGGCAGAGGCTTAACCCACTGAGCCACCCAGGCACCCCAGTACATTAGTTTTTGATGTCGTGTTCTGTTGCTTCACTGTTTGCGTATAACACCCAGCATTCCATTCTTGAAAGGAGAGGCAATTTTTGCTTGTCACAACTAAATATTTAGTTGTCTGGTACTGACAGTATTATGCAGTTTGGCTATGTCCGGAGTGCTGAAACATCACAATATATAAATATAGTAAAAGATCAGAATAGCCCGATTTGATAGCAGCTGCATGTAGAAATATTTTAAATAAGATAACTTTATGGAGCTATAATTTGCAAATGATAAAAGATTACAGATTTTATGTATGGATTTTGATGACTTGAGAAATGTGCATCCTGTATAACCACCACCCCAATCAAGATTTGACAGCTATCCAATACCACAGAAGGTTCCTTTTGTGCCCCATTGGGGCAGTTCTGCCTCCCACCTTCTCCCAGACAAACATGGATCTGATTTCTGTGGCTGTTCTCAAACTTCATATAAATGGAACAATACAGTATGCATTCTTTTGTGTCTGCCTTCTTTCTTTATGTGAGGTCTGTTTGATTGATGCATGATTATGCATGTATAAACAGACTGTCCCTTTCTGTTGGTGACTACTATTCATCTTATGCCCATACAACACTTACTTGTGAATAGGTGTTCATCTGTTGTTGGGTATTTGGGTGGTTTTCAACTTTTGACATTTTGAATGAAATTGAAAGGAACATTTGTTTACAAATGTATTTTCATCTTTTGGGTGGAATTGCCGGGAGTCACAGAGTAGGAACATCTTAAATCTATAATAAAATAACACAACATTTTCTAAAGTGATTGTATAATTTTCCAACCCTGCTGACATTGTATGAATGTTCTGGGAGCTCCACAGCCTCACCAGTAATTGATGTTGTCAGTCATTTAATTTGAGTCATACAAGTGGGTGTGTAGTATGTCTCATTTTGGTCTCTTTGATGAATAGTGAAGTTGAGAATTTTTTTATTTACTTATTGACCATTCATGAACCTTTTCTTCCATAGAGCATGATAAGTCTTTTGCTCATTTTTTTATTGGGTTGTCAAGTCTTTTGTCAGATAAATATAAATATCCTTGGCTTGGTTTTCCTTTTTATTAATGATGATTCTGAAGAATTTATTATGATTAAAATTGAGTTTATCAATTTGTCCTCTTCGGGTAATGCTGCTTATATGTTAAGAAATCCCCTAATATCCCAGTATCATGAAGATTTTAAGTTTCATCCTTGAGTTTGTTTTAGCTTTTTTTAGGTCTGCGGTCCATTTCAAATTAATTTTTATGTGGGAGGTGAGGTAGAATCAGCTAGCTAGTTTGGATTTTGTTCACATGTGGATATCCACTTGCTGTAGTATCATTTGCTGAAAATGCTGTTCTTTCCCTATTTAATAACCTTGTCATAGCCGTTGAAAAGCAGTTGAATGTGTACATATGTGTGTGTGTGTGTGTGTGTGTGTATGAATTGATATAATCTTTTCTGTTCCAGTAATGTATTTGCTTATCCTTAAGCCAAATGACACTGTCTTCATAACTGCAGCTTTACAGTAATTGTAGAAATCAGTTAAAATGGGTCTTTAAATTTGTTCATTTTTATTCCAAATTGTTGTCATTCCATCTGATAATACTTACCTTTCACTTGAAATATTTTCTATAATATTTCTTGCAGTGCAAATCTGTAGGTGAATATTTAATCAGGTTTTATTTATCTGAAAATTAATTTTACTCCTTTTTGAAGGATATTTTTTGTAATATATAAAATCTCAGTTGACAGTTTATTTCCCTTACTGCTTTAAAGATGTCATTTCATTGTCTTGTTGCCTTTTCTGTTTCTGATGAGAAGTTGGCTACATTCCTGTCATGTTCCCTGTATGTAGTATGTTATACTACTTTAGCTGCTTTCAAAGAATTTTCTTTTGTCTTTCATTTTTAGTGGTTTGTATTTATTTATCAAGATTTATTTATTTATTTGAGAGAGAGACAGGAGAGAGAGGAGGGGTAGAGGAGGAGGGAGAGAGAGAATCCACAAGCAGACTCCTTGCTGAGTGCAGAGCCCTGACTCGGAGTTTAATTCCAGGATCTGGAGATCATGACCTGAGCCAAAACCAAGAGACAGGCACTTAACCAACTGAGCAACTCAGGCACCCCATTTTTCTTTGTACTTATTATGCTTGGTTTTGCTGTTCTTCTTAAGATTGTAAATTGGCTTTTTTGACCAAAATAGGGAAATTTTGTTATTGTTATTTTCTTCAACTTTTGTCTGCTTTGACCATTATTCCCACTCCATTGTCTGTCTTCTCCTTCTGGACTCTAAATACATGTCTGTTAGGCCATCTGATTCTATCTTACAAGTACCTGAGGCTCTGTTTATTTTCAGAATTTTTTATTGTGTATGCTTTAGTTTAATAATTGCTATGAATCTGTTTTAATGTTCACTTATTCATTTTTCTGCCATGTCTAATCTGTTATTAAGCCTATTCAGAAACTTTTTATTTCTGCTCTTAAGTTCTAGAATTCTATTTGTTTCTATCTTACAGTTTCCATTTCCTTGCTGAGATTCCCTATCTGTTCCCTCATCAAGACCATTTTTCCTTTAGGTCCTTAAACTTTAATAGCTACTTAATAGCTTTAATAGCTACTTAAAAAGTTCTTGCCTACTAATTACATCTGGGCCATCACAGGGTCTATTTTTTAAAAAGTGAGTAAGGCTCACATTCACCTGCTTATTTGCATGCTAAATACATTTTTATTTTATGTTGGACATTATGAATGTTGCAGTGTTTGGATTTGGGAGAACTTGTTATGTCAGGCAGTTAATACTGATGGCTGTTCTTAAACTTGTTGAGGTTTGATTTTAGTCTTTTTTAGGGCTGGTCTAGAATACTCTAGGACATGGTTCTTATTGCAGAAGTATGGCCTTTTTGGTGTCTCAGTCAAATTCTCAAGGCGTTTTACGATCTCTGCACTCTGGTCTCTCCACTCTCCCAGTAAGTGTGACCTCTGCTATCTTCATTTTACTTGCAGCTCTGTATCAGATGTTCTCTTCTTCACTTCACCCTCTCACCTTGTGCAGGTACAGTCTAGCCAGTGACCAAGGTCTTGCAAAAACAAAAACAAACAAATAAAACCCCAAAGATTTCTGGGGTCAGTTCTCTCTAGTGTTTGTCCTCCAGTTTCCAGCTGCTTCACCAGCACTGAACTGCAATGTGTGTCTCCTCAACACAACAAGACTGCCTTTTCTCCACCTCTGTTGCTCTCAGGAAATTGTCCACAGGCTAACAGTGTCACAGGGCTGACATTTGTACTTAGAAATTCTGTTTCTGCAGTGCCTGTTGGCCAGTGTCTAAACACAGTCACTTCCTGTGTTTTGTCCAGCTTTATAGTAGCTGCTGGGAAAGGCCAGTCTGTCTCAGCCAGAAGCCTACATGTGGTAGAAATATACTTTTGAAAGTTTTTCTTAAGATATTGGTTCTCAAACTTCAGCACATACTAGATTCATCTGGAGGATTGGTTTACACACAGATTGTTAGGCCCTGTCTTTTAGAGTGTCTGATTCAGTGGGTTGAGTTCGGGCCCAGCAATCTGAATTTCTAACACGTGTCCAGGTGATGCAGGTGCTGACAGTCTGGGAACCAAACTTGGAGAACCACATGTTTAGAAAGATGGACCTTGAGAAGAAGTGTTGGACTCTATTTGGGATTTACTATGCACAATTTTACCCTTTTTTTCTTTTTTTTAGTCCTATGTCCTGTATAACAGACTTATGTTTCAGTTGGTTTATTATAATGCTTGCAATCATGCTCTTTTTATAAAAATTATGATTTTCATAAATTGTGGGGTTTTTTTCATTGAATGAGGGATGCACCATTTAATTGATAGAAACAGAAAATATATAAGAGAGTAAGTAGGTTTATTAAATATTGTCATTCTTATTTTTTTTTTTGCTTGCACAAATAATTTGGTTTGTTCATCCTGATAAGAAACTTACATAACATGAAGTTCGATAAGTTTCAGAAACAAGTGTGTGATTTTTGTTTCAGAAATCGAGCTTCATTTTAATTATTCTTGGACCTGTGTGTGTATGTGAGTTATATGTATGTGTGTTTTGTAGTTAAGATGCAAAATAGTGATAACCATTTGCTGGATTGCTGGACTTGAGCCATATCTCTTCCTCAGGTTTCCTGAAATCTCACCCCATTCTTTATAGCTAGCAAGAGCACTATTAATCCATCTACCTCAGCATATTCTGTCCTCTCCTTTACCTTCATTTCCAGTGGCTCTATCTCTCCTTGTTTGTCAGGATTTTGAAATTTATTGCTTTCTTTTATTCTATCTAATATCCATGCATTTCCCAATAGTATAACGCTGTACTGATGTCAAATTGATGACTCCTGTCCATGAAACTGACATAATTTTTGCAATGGCAGCCAGGAGAGAAAGTGTCTTCCCACCAGCATTACCGTATTTATTACTTGGTTGGGAAAATTGGTTGGTATTATCCCTTCAAATTCTAACCAATCTCTGACAGATTTTTTTTATTTACCAACTTTCGTTTCTCAGAAAAATTGGTACAACAGCCTTTGGTGGTTAGATTAAAAGCCTCTTTGATGGCACATTTTTAAAATATTCTAGTTGTAATGTATGATTATTATAATTGCAGTCTCAAATTCAGAGGTCTGTCTTCTAATATTTAGATATAGGCATAATGAAATACTAATTACTAAATACTAATTACTCAACAGGTTCATTTCGATGGCTGGGACCACAAATATGACTACTGGATGGATGCAGACAGCCCTGACATTCACCCGATTGGGTGGTGTGATATAACAGGGCATCCACTGGAAATCCCATATCGTGAGTATTTTGCTCTTTGTTGTTGATTTTTAAGTACTCAGCTTGAATTCTTACCTGAATGCTATTTTTTTCATGTCATTATAAGTATTTTATTTTATTTTTTTTAAAGATTTTATATATTTATTTGACAGAGAGAGATCACAAGTAGGCAGAGGCAGGCAGAAAGAGAGAGGAAGAAGCAGGCTCCCCGCTGAGCAGAAAGCCCGATGCGGGGCTCGATCCCAGGACCCTGGGATCATGACCTGAGCTGAAGGCAGAGGCTTTAACCCGCTGAGCCACCCAGGCGCCCCCATTATAAGTATTTTAAAAATAAATATCAGATAGGTGATTTGACTAATCAGTGTTATAGCTATGCTGCAATCTAATTATTCAGTTAAGCCTCAAAGGAGATACTTTATAAAGAAAAGTCATAATAATCATTAAAGAATTATTTTGATAGTGTTGTCTAGAAGAATCTTTATTTTCTACATTTTAGTTTGGAAAACTTAACCCATCTAAATCCATCTAATTTGCACCATTGATTTTTTGCTGAAGTGCATTTTGATTTTTTAAACATTCCATCTTAATTTTTTATAGATTAAATTTCAAATAGTTTTAGAATAAACAAATATTTTAAATTTCAGCAGTTAAAAAAACTTTAGTTGAAAAAAAAGTCAGCTGTTATGTTGGTATCTTCATTTCTTCTTCCTTTCCAGCTACTTAAAGTTAAGGAGGAAATTAACCACTCTAAATTTTAATGAGCCTTGAACCAAAATATCTTATTCTTTTGTCTGAAGGATTTCTTCGATCAGATTAGGCTGACATGACTAATAGCGGGTTCCAGACACATGTGCAGGCACTGCATTCTTTTGTTTGTTTTGTTCCCTCACTGACTCTGTGGCTCTCCCATTGGCTTCTTGGGATGAATCTAGCACATTATTCTGTTAATGAGACTGTCTTTCATTGAGCCAGCCCGATGATGCTTGAAGCGCAGCTCTAAAAGGACTAACAGCATCTTTGAAGTAATTCCTTGACTTCTTATAAAAGTGAGGAGAGGTCCTGACAATAATTCAACAGACATGTTTACCTTGTGGTAGGTGCTTCAAAAACGACAAAAAATCAATAAGGTACAGGTCCTTATGTAATGTAGAGTGCATTAGCCAGCATGGCATCTCTATATACAGAATGTAAAACCAGAGACCATGGTCAGCCCTGTGTTGGAGGGATGGTGTTAGTATTTGTGCTTTGTGGGGTTTTCCTGATTTCACTCTTTACTCCACCTGATTTCACTGCCCAATATGTCAAAGAGATGTTTCTCATTTTATGATAACTTCTCCTCTCCCCCCACTGACAAGCACACATACATCCTCATCATAGTAACATTCTCAAGGAGGAATGGTCTCAAGGAGTGGGGATGGGACAGCATTTCAGGGACAAAGACAGCTCTCTACACTCCCTCTCACTCGTTGCCTGCTTCTTTGTGAAGCCACTTAACTGTTTTCTGGAACAGAATGTCTCACAAGCATCCCAAAGTCTGTGGATCAAGCTGAACTTCATCCCAAACCAAAACCAAAACCAAAACAAAACAGACAAAAAAACACAAAACTTGCCTTTCTACTGTAGTTCCTACTTGATTTCAAAGTTCTTACTTCTTTTTTATTTTATTTATTTATTTATTTTTTTTTTTTAAAGAACAGGCAGGGGGCAGAGAGAAAGGGAGAGAGAATCTTTTTTTTTTTTTTTTAATTTGATAGACAGAGATTACAAGTAGTCAGAGAGGCAGGCAGGAGGGAGAGGAGGAAGCAGGTTCCCCGCTAAGCAGAGAGCCCGATACGGGGCTCGATCCCAGGACCCTGGGATCATGACCCGAGCCGAAGGCAGAGGCTCTAACCCACTGAGCCACTTAGGCGCCCCTCTTTTTTATTTTTTATTATGTTATGTTAGTCACCATACAGTATGTCATTAGTTTTTGATGTAGTGTTCCAAGATTCATTGTTTGCATATAACACCCAGTGCTCCATGCAGTACTTGCCCTCCTTAATACCCATCACCAGCCTCGTGTACCCCCCCACCCCTCTCCCCTCTAAAGTGCCTACTTCTTCTTCTTTTTTTTTTTTTTTAAGATTTTTTATTTATTTGACAGATCACAAGTAGGCAGAAAGGCAGGCAGAGAGAGACGGGAGGGAAGCAGGCTCCCCGCTGAGCAGAGAGCCCGATGCAGGGCTCCATCCCAGGACCCTGAGATCATGACTTGAGCGGAAGGCAGAGGCTTAACTCACTGAGCCACCCAGGCGCCCCATAAAGTGCCTATTTCTTAAGCAGAGTCATTCTGGACTTTGTTCCTCCTTATCCCTTCCTTACCCACATATACAATCAGTGACCAACTCTTACTGATTTTCTTACTTAATTTCTCCAAAATCTATCTCTGACCCCTGCCTGCTCCCTCCCAATGCCATTGCTTTTGCTCTATCATTATAGTTATGCAGTGTACTAGTTAGTGAGTTACACAAATCGTCCTGACAAGCCAAAATAGATCTCAAAATTCAAGCTCTAGAGGCAATATAGCCTGCTTATTAGAAGTGTGGAATCTGGAGTCAGAATGCTTGCATTTGAATCTCAGTTCTGCTGCTTACTTAGCAGTGTGACTCTCTGTGCCCATTTCCTCATGTAGAAAATGAAGATAATATTAGTCTGCCTATCTCAAAAATTTGTAATGATTAAATGGGATAAATACACACATAATACCTCAAAAACTACCCAACCAGTAGTATGCACTGATTTAATGTTGGCTATCAGGAAATGATAAAATATTCTATAGATTTTCATTTTTATATGAAAATATATGAATTATTAAGGATTATGAAACTTGAAATTATGCTAAAATTAATACAAGTAGAGTTTTCCAAATACTTTAATTTCTTTCTTCTGTCCTTTCTTTCTATTCATTTATTTATATTTATTATTGAATTATAGGTGACATACAGTATTATATTAGTTTCAATTATACAACACAGTGATTTGACATTTATATACACTACAGAATAGTCATTATAAGCCTAGTTACTGTCTGTGACTTCAGTTACAGTTATACAGTTATAAAGTTATTATAATATTATTGGCTACATACCCTATGCTGTATTTTGCATCCCTGTGACATATTTTCTAACTGGGAATTTGTACCTCTTAATCTCCTTTACTTACTTCACCCATTCCCCCAATTCCATTTACTTCAGCAACCACCACTTTGTTCTCTATATTTATGCGTCTATTTCTGTTTTGTTTTGTTTGTTTGTTTAGATTCCACATATAAGTGATATTATATGGTATTTGTCTTTCTCTGAGTTATTTAACTCAGCATAATATGTTCCAGGTCCACTCATGTTGTTATAAATGGAAAGTTTTTATTCTTTTTATGGCTGAGCAATATTCCACTATCTATACCTATACACCACATCTCTGTATCTGTTCATCTGTTGATGGGTTGCTTCTGTATCTTGGCTACTGTAAATAATGGTGCTAAAAAATGTAGGGGTGCATATCACTTTTTTGAATTATTGTTTTTGTTTTCTTCAGATAAATACCCAGAAGTGGAAATGCTGGCTACTACGGTAGTTCTATTTTTAATTTTTTGTGGAACCTCCATACTGTTTTCCACAGTGGCTGCACTAATTTACATTCCCACCAATAGTGCAGGAGTGTTCTCTTTTCTCTACACCCTTGTCAGCACTTGTTATTTCTTGTATTTTTGATACTAGCCATTCTGATTAGTGTGAGGTGACATCTCATTGTGATTTTTTTTTAAATTTATTTTCAGCATACAGTATTCATTATTTTTGCACCACACCCAGTGCTCCATGCAATCCGTGCCCTCTCCAATACCCACCACCTGGTTCCCCCAACCTCCCACCCCCCACCCCTCCAAAACCCTCAGATTGTTTTTCAGAGTCCATAGTCTCTCATGGTTCACGTCCCCTTCCAATTTCCCTCAACTCCCATCTCCTCTCTAAGTCCCCTTGTCCTCCATGCTATTTGTTATGCTCCACAAATCAGTGAAACCATATGATAATTGACTCTCCCTGCTTGACTTACTTCACTCAGCATCATCTCTTCCAGTCCCGTCCATGTTGCTACAAAAGTTGGGTATTCATCCTTTCTGATGGAGACATAATACTCCATAGTGTATATGGACCACATCTTCCTTATCCATTCGTCCGTTGAAGGGCATCTTGGTTCTTTCCACAGTTTGGCGACCGTGGCCATTGCTGCTATAAATATTGGGGTACAGATGGCCCTTCTTTTCACTACATCTGTATCTTTGGGGTAAATACCCAGTAGTGCAATGGCAGGGTCATAGGGAAGCTCTATTTTTAATTTCTTGAGGAATCTCCCCACTGTTCTCCAAAGTGGCTGCACCAACTTGCATTCCCACCAACAGTGGAAGAGGGTTCCCCTTTCTCCACATCCTCTCCAACACATTGTTTCCTGTCTTGCTAATTTTGGCTGTTCTAAGTGGTGTAAGATGGTATCTCAATGTGGTTTTAATTTGAATCTCCCTGATGGCTAGTGATGATGAACACTCATTGTGATTTTGATTTGCATTTCCCTGATGACTAGTGATGTTAAACATCTTGCCATGTGTCTCTTGGCCATCGGTATGTTTTCTTTGGGAAAATGTCTATTGAGGTCTTCTACCCATTTTTTAATTGGGTTGCTTGGGTTTTTTTGGTGTTGGTTGTCTGAGTTATTTATATATTTTGGATATATATATATATATTTTGAATACTTATTGAGTATACTATTTGCATATATTCTTCTCCCATTCAGTAGGCTGTCTCTTCATTTTACTAATGATTTCCTTCCCCATGCAAAAGCTTTTTAGTTAGGTGCAATCTCATTTCTTTATTTTTGCTTTGGTTGCCCTTGTCTGAGGATAAAAATCCAAAAATAATATTGCTAAGAACTATGTTTAAGAGTTTGCTGCCTATGTTTTCTAGTATTTTTATGATTGTACGTTTATATTT